ACGAATAGCAGAGTGTATGAAACAACCAGGAAGTAGCGAAAGCTTTACAACTACATTAATACTAATCACTCCGTCGTCCCGTTCATACTTCGCTTCACCCTAGCTAGCGTTTTCCTTTTTTTTATCTCATCTCAGTGATGTCCTTCTCAAGTCTACGCGTCTTCAGTTTTCATCTATCGACTGAAGTTTTACGGGTTTTCTTTGCTTTATATGTGACGGTTTTGTTCTGATGTTCTAGGTGCCCAAGCGATTCGAGAAGTACTGCTCGAGAATCATGTCAAAAGCTCGACGTATTTACTGTGGTGAGTATGTTATTATCTAACTATTTAATCTGTAATAAATAAAAGCTCAATGATCCCTGTAGCACATTGCCATTCCCATTGCAGTGGCTGGTTTGGTTGCTTTCGAAGTCATTTATTCATTTTTAAATACAAAACACTGAGCACTGAAAAACCCTCATCCACCGAAGTATGTTTTAGTAGGAGTTTATCTGGTACCTGGGGTTGATAACAACTATCTAGAGGTTCAACCACCCATACTATTGTATTTATATATGTTGTCTATATTGATGGCTACCACTACATCGTATGATTAACTGATCTTTCTCAGGAATGCTCACTTCGATGGATTTCGCTATTGGGCGAGTGATCGATTATTTGAAAGCCACGAAGAAGTACGATAATACAGTAATTATCTTCACGAGTGATGTAGGTAGTATAATCAATTTTAATTAGAGACTCAACTTCTTATGATAGTCGAACTCCCTGAACGATTGATTTTTCTGTTTACTTCTTCGAATTTGAGTATTTATGTCGATTATGTAGACCAGTAGGATATCAAACATTTTATTTCGCTCCTAAGTTTTTGATCCCAAGCAATCAAAAGGCAACCAAGAATCGATGTCATTTGTTTGGGAGGCATACTTTGAGTCTTAACGCAAATGTTGTGTGATGTCTTCCATACCTCCAGAATGGCGGTACAACACAGTTTGGTGCTTCCAATAAACCATTGCGAGGCGAAAAGGATACATTATGGGAAGGAGGTACGAAGACGACTACCATCGTGCATGCTCCCAAATCCATTCATACTAATGGCGTCAGACCTCAGTAGGTTATTCAGCTATTCAGTGATTTTTCTAATCTTTGATGTATTTTGGCATGAGGCAAGATGAAAAAGCGACTAACTTGCACGTATATGTGCAGAAATCGGTACGGATCTAAATTTCTACCGTAGTCCCACCATTCTTTCATTGCCAGCTGTGCAACGCTGTAAAATAACTCGAATAAAATGAGTAGCGGTAGTTAGAAACAATGGTGCGACTACGGTATAAATTTAAATCTGTACTGAATTTGAGATTTTATCGTTTGTGCGGTCACAACACGTGCGCGTCAAGTACTTGTCAATCGCTGTGATCGATTGCTTGAGATTACGTCGCCAAAACTCTAGTATCTCCTGATCAAGCACATTGATATAGACTCCTAACCCTATTTTCAAAGTTGTGGGTCTACAAGTTTAATTTCGCAAATCGATCGGATCGATTCCTTTTCTGGAAAAAAAAACGATTTGATTTTTTATATCCTTCTCTATACAAATTAGTGACGAGACTCCCCGAAAAACTAGTTCAAATTGAATATTTCCATCAAATCTGCCATCCACACTAGTTGATACTTACTCCCTGCGTCTGTGTTGTGACCACGTGCGATTGTATCTGCTGTTGGTCTCCTCCCCTGGAAGGAAAATTAGTTCGAAGATCATTGGTTGGTGCTCGGAGAAAAGCTTCTTTTTGCAGATTGTTCCATGTAGTGGATTGGCATGCAACGTTACTAGCGATTGCCGGCCTAGACATACAATCATACGGTATGGCATCATGGTTTACAGAGGCTTATTATTAGTCACCTGCCGGTTCCACCTCTGCAGGTGATGGCATCAACCAGTGGAGTTACATCGTATCAGGCAATCCAAAACTTCGACGATTCCAGTTTGTCTACAACATTGACGAACATGGCTCAGCAATACGGTAGTGAGAATCTGATTTCTTCTGATTTTTGAAAAGATTTTTCACTTAAATTAGATGCTTAGTTCCCAAAAATTGTTCTCCATAAGCAAATCCAGCACACTCTCCGAACTACCTAGCTTTTTACTCATTCAGAGCGGTAGAGATCAGCTTATCTTTCTTGAAAAGTAGTTCAAAGAAGGCGACTTACATCACACACAGCTTCTGTTTTGAGCAGTTCTTTGTTTCCCAAAGATCATTGCAAAAAATGTTCTAGTCGAAAGCAAAAAAGAGATGAGGAAGTTGCGAGAATAGTCGGGATTGACAAGTGGTCATAAAGCAATATGATGGAGAACGGAACACGCTGTGCTCGCAATCAACTAGGAGTTAAGCAGAATCTTGGATCACATTAAGAAGAGGTTTTCCTGCTGCATATGTATAGGGAATTTAGAAACTCTTAAGACCCTTTTTCCTCCCCTTTGCTCCTTTTTCGCACCACTTTTAATACAAAGTGGTTTAATAAAAGTAGTCGATACAATACTTTTAATAATACAATACACTTTTAATCCATTTTAATATTAATACAATACTCAAAATCCTCGGAGTTTTCTCTACTTCCTCTTTTATCTTCGAAAATTCTGCATTGTTCTCACTGAAATGGAACCTTAACGTTTCACTAGTACCTATTCTTGCAGATTCGAGATTTTTTATGCTTGTTTATAAGCGGACCACTTTGGTCTTGCTCGCACAGATGATCATGCTGATTTAGTAACTTGCCTTTAGAGATGGCGATTTCAAGTTGATTCTCGGTAACCCAGATCGGCGAATACAAGAAGATCATGGCAAAGCGCGGCTTTATCGAGTTACAGGTAAATAAATATGAGTTTGATTAGTAAAGAGTAAAGTTATGTGGTAGCAGGCACAAAATCACTTGGAAACCTTNCCTTTTGCGTGATTTATTGATATTGAGTGACACCCTAGTAGGCCACCCATTCGAGGGAATTTCAAACATATGTTTTTTCTTGACTCTCAAATACGCCAAGAACCTCTTCAATTTTTATGACCTTTCGGATCCGGATTTTGCTACCTGTGGTGGAGCCAGAATGGCGCGCTTCTCTCTGAATCGTGGTTAAATGCAAGGAAAGGCAACGGAGTCGATAAGATGTGCGCAGAGTCGAACGAGCTGAGTCTTGCTCGCTACTATCTCGATATTCTTAGATGTTCTCCGGACCATACCCTTCTTTCTCCTGAGCTCTGAAGCTTATTGATCACCCCACCACGAGATAAACATTGCCGGAGCATTGGCAGGTGATAAGCTCCATAACTGATGGAAGAACCTACAGATGTCTTGTTATGAGTGTACCAGGATCTTTGCTGTACTGTTTCGGACCTGATATGAAGTCTGACTTCGGAAGAAGAACTCGAGAAAAACAGAAATCAATCGGTGTTTGCCTGCAGCTTGGACAACCATGTACTATCGCATCTGCTCCATTGTCCGAAGAAGAGCCTTTTGAATACTTTAGTACTCTGTTTTTTAACCACTCCAATTATGTTCGACGAATCCAGTGATATATTCGGTTGCCTGACTAAGCATGCAGGTTATAAACTGCCTCAAAAGGCCTGTATAAATGGTTCAGCACAACAATTTCACCTCCTGGAACCACTCCATCTTTGGTGAGGACCGATGGTTTTCAAAGGTTTTTTCCCGGCACTGCATCTCGTAGCTTCCCAACGAACGGCCAAAGATTCTTCGAGGGGAAAGGATTATCGAAGAAGGAGACTCGTGGGACTGTGACGTGGCACAGTGAGTTCTAGTACACTGTTGATGGCTGGCTGCTTGAAAATCCAAAAGTGTAGGAAGCAAAGTATAAGGACATTATCTATATTCCCAATTTTAACCCCGGATTGATACTTAATACCGCGCATTTGTATATATGACAGTTGTTATAACTGCCTTTATGAGAAAGTTCATTACTCAAATGAGAGTTTAAATAAGAGAGTTCATTACTCAATGATGTACCCTAGCGCATAATTGTTTGTTAAGTCTCAGTTTTTGATTTCAGAAGATCCAGGAGAGACTAATGATATTTCGAAAATACATCCAGGTCTTGTGCATCGGTGAGTAGTGTAATTATTTTATATTACATTACTTTGATTGGAATTTACTTCCGTCATGGGTAAAGCCTTCCTTTTTGGATGAACTGTTTGGGAAGACATATTGGTGTATAAGATAATCTAATTCTTTATAATAACTTATTAACTGGTATCCTTGATTCCGCCTCGATTGGTTTGCATATCTCATGTACTCATTTTCGATCTGGGTCACCAGTTTCCTTTCAAACAAAAAATTTCTTCGGAACTCAAACCTGCATTGAGCACTATTGAGAACTGCCGCACTGAATACTATAGCAGCCGCTACTTTTACATTTGTTTTCGAACCTGTAAATAAAATTACAAATTACTTACGCAAAAACGAATCGAAAGTGATGAAAAGGGCTCGGGACTTGAGGGAAGAAAGGAAAACAGTTTATTTGGTCATCAGTCCTAGCGTCAGGGTTGTTAATAAATTTTGCTTTACCGTAATCACCCAAGGAAAAAGTATTCGATTTTCTGAACTTTTTCTTTTTTCTAACTTTTTCTTTTTTTTTTTGACTTTTTCTGAATCTGAACAGTGCTCAAAATAGAGCCTAACCTATTTCTATTACTAACATTCAAATAAATTTCAGGTTGAAAACTAAAATAATCGAACTACAGAAGTATATGCGAAAAAACGTCCGGAAACCGTTAAGTTTAAAAGGCAGTCCGGAGCGACTAAATGGAAGCTACGCGAGCTATTGGTGTACATAGTGTACTGTGTCTATAGATTGCTGTAGAGTATTAATAAAAGATTATTAGAATTAGTTCGTGTGCAGTGGAAAAGTGCAGTCATACATCTGGCTATGTGCCTATGTTTGGTGTTTTTAAAACTGAATCTCCCAATAGTACTGTTAACAACCAGAGACATCTGCAACAGGGGTAGTCTTGGACTTCCAGTGCAGGTTAGTGATCTTCATTCTTATTGAAGATAAAATGTCATTCAAAACTTTTCCTTTCAGCACTGTATGTGTTTCAGAGAAGGAATATTTCTTGAAGAATATTGGCTGTAGCACAAGGTGAGATTTGTCTTTTTTCCGAACATCTCTTGCTTTTCCTATTGGAAAGATTACTGGAGGAAAAAATACGGGCGGCTGGCAGTTGAAGTTTATTGCAAGTCTAAGAGTAAATACAGACTGCTTGCGAATAGTAATATCTTGTTAGTTCAGGTCGCATATGTGAAGGCGTAGAAGGGCCTTCTGGAAGAATTCTGGAATTTTTCTTAAGTAGGTAATAAGAGCATTTCACGCCTCTACTAACATTTTTAGTTTTGATGGATTTTGAGTTCATCATTACGGGCAGACAAAAAGTAGACAGCACCTAAATGTTTACCTAAGAAATGAGAAAGTGATGCGGGTAAGTCTTACTGCGCCATCTCCCAGTATGGAAATCATAGGTTGACGGTATGAGGTGATCATCTCCATTTTGAGATCTCGTTGTTGAGTCGGAGTGGAGTGGACAGAAGTTGAATGGAAAATAATGACTACTGTTAAAACTATTAAATGAATAACTATTATCACACGTGTGTGTCAATAGTTAGATATTGAAACATGAATTAAGAAGTAGTTCTATGAGATATGAAGTTATACGAATCAGTTTCAAAGAATATAAATGCAATAGGTTTAGTTCTAATGATTATCACTGAAGAAGACTATGCCGTAACCTACCGTAATCCTATAGTTCGAGTGATACTGTACGATTAGCCAATAGAAATTCTCGTATAGACACCTATTAATGGCTGATTCAGTCATTGTGTGTGAGGTCGATTGCTATGGGTCGAAATGCCAGAAGCGTCTATTCTTACTTCGCATAGAATCTCCAATTAGTCGAGAGATGGCTATCACACTATGATACTTCCCAAGGCAAAATGTTACTGTAACGTTGAGCCCCTACCGTATCGAGCCATTTGTGTAGAAGCTTACTGAACCTTTCAAAAAGTATCCCTTGCAGATGGTGACAGCGCCTCACTAGTTGAATTTCATGGAAACTGGATGGTTTAGGGCATGATCCATCCAATCCAATACTATAGTATACATGGTCTGTGAAGGGGTCCTGCCTTCAAGGTTTCAGCCCTTTTATGCCAGTTATGATGACGATAATTTTATGGGTTGCTTTTACCAGTTTTCCAACCAAAATTATTTTCCTATAGCGAAAATGTCTAGATTGAAAGTTCTTTTGATTTTTGCGGAACGGGACCGTACTGTGAACAGATCTCTTGACTCGAGGGCTTTTTCACACACTCTTTGGTTAAAAAAGCTTTTTTTCTCTCTTCTTTTGATATTGTTTTTCATGAACTTCATTTAAGATAAAGGAACAATGTGTCATAGCCAGGAGCGAGTAGATTTCATAAAACCCGTAGTTCCGACCTGTTCCCTGGACCCCTTTTATACATATAAGTGATCCCTGATTCAAAATATCATTATGACCTGAGAACCCCTCCGAAGGCAGTAGCAGGCCATGGCCATGTGGCGGCTCAATCTTTGGGCTATCATCAGTATCTGGCGATTAGCTGAGGCATTTGTAGATCTCCTAGAGCGCTAATGACCCTAGTGATATGTCACATCAAACGGATTTCGACTCCATACGTCGCTCATCGACATGTCCATTCGCACCTGCCCACTGACTATCAGCGATACTATCTGATCGGTCATCGACAAAGACCGTTCGCTGAATCTTATCTCCATCCGATCGCTGCAACGACGCAACGATTTCGGATCACCTACATGAGACATGTTTCCGGACATATTTACTGCTCATACCATTCGAGATTAGAGCACTCGTTCGACCACCTGCCTTATGAGACCTGCCCAGCGCAGATGTCATTTGAGTACGTCCTATCTGTAAAAAAGTGATATCGAGTGAACCTATACTAGTACTCTTTGGTTAATCCATGACTCTGGAGTCTTATGCTCCCACAGCCGCAAATCGATCGTTTAAGGGAATTAGCTACTGGAAGATATGTGTGGATTGTATCCGATCTTGGTCCGTTTTTAGTTAAATCAGGCTTTCCATCTTTCCGGACCCGAATAGCTCAGATTTTTCAAAAGGATGCAGCGCTTGATTGTGTAACGAATTCTACTTGAAAATGACTGTATTAGCGAGATTCGTCCTTGAAGAACTCTACGATTTTGAATAGAAGTCAAATGCGTGGCGTATCCCTTGAAAGGAGTGAGAAACAAATAATCTCTCATGCTTTGAATGCACAAAATCCGAAAATCTAACCACAGTAACCGCTTTCCTTATTCATGGCGGTGACCGCAAACAACTGTTAGAGCACTTTTCCCTATTTGTGATGCAAATTCTATTGGACAATGTCACTTAGTAAACGCACCATTTGCGGAATCACTTTCATCCCTACTCTCCACCCACGACGGTATTTGTGAAGTTAGTAGCAAGTGTTGGAAAACATCTCCCTCTGGTGGTTCAAATCATAAGAGTAGTCCCTGGCAATGCTGTCAATGACTATCTGCTGTCAAGCGCTACATTAAAGCTTAGGGCTAGCCGTAAATACTTACTGAATGACAGGCTCAGTAAGCAGCTGCCGTACTTGAGGACACTTCACTTCTGTACTTTTAAGGAGATCTGGCATGCAGCGACAGGAATCACTTGTGCTCTAGGACCTTAGAACCCTTCCGTTAAGTTCTCACCTCAACAGCATGGCACATAGGTCAGCGTTGAAGAGGGGTGTTAAGCAACTATCAATATCGTCTCGGGATGTGTCGCGCATTTGACTCCATTGGATATTCGCGCATTTATTGGTAGATGCACACATATAAGCGCCATTCAAGTTGGGTAATTCTTGAGGAAGGTCTAATCACCAAGAAGCATCGGTAATATATTTAACTACATGGATAAATGAAATATATTAATAAAGGATAACGATTGGTAGTGAAGAGTTTTTTGGCTACGAGCATTTTTAGAGTACACACGAGCATTTGGCTACGATTTAGAAACGTTGTTTCGTCGTTTGATTTTGCACTTCGCCAGTACGATGATTTGCGGTAAACAGCCGATGAACAAGTTAGTATTTTTGAGCTGGTGTTCTCGGTAGAGAGTCACTGCTTGGTCAAATCGCGTATCAGTCTGAAATTTGATCTCCGTCCCACCCATGTGGTGACAGCGCCATTTCGTACCACTCCACCTCCGCGTCGTTCGAACTTCTTTCCGTGTTTCTTTACTTATTTACCCAGCCAATAGCTTTATCAACTATTTTCGAGATAGCTCGACACAGCCCTGACAATCTCCCCTCAAGACTCAGGACTTTGCAGGCCCTTCGAAGCTAAGCTGATGAGATTTTCTAAAGAAATTGATTTTCATTGAGGCACAAATGTTATTCACTCATCCTGAGAGAATCCCGAGTTAAATGGCTTTACGGGCTAGGAGGATTTTTGGAGAGAAATGCTTCATTTCTCAGATCGTATCGTAATATCCCCAAGAAGCTGAGATGTACTTAGGTCGAATAATGCCCGCTGAAAACCGAGACGTCAGTTATCTATCGGTTTCTTTTAGCGACTTTTCTTCTGACGCAGCTGTTATGTCGGCTCAACAGCAGATTTACTAGTTTCTGCAGTCTCCTATACGAAAACCTACATTTTTCGACAAAATAATTCTTTCAAAACTTGAACTCCATCCTTCAGTATCTCTGTTTCTTCGGTATCTCTCCCTCTCAAGGAATCGGGTCAATCTGTGCTTGGTCCTAATCTCACCCGTACGGGGAGTGAGTATTACCAAGAATGGTCCTGGCTATTCCCATATTCTCTCGAAACCTCTTAGCCAGTTTGAATGCATGATAAGTAGCGGCATGTATCAGTCAGGCCTTTTATAAATTGAACCATCTCGAATCATATTCGCGACAGCCCAATGGTCCGATCGCATGAGCGGATGAGCTGTGAAGCGAAGATGGAGGTGAGATCCAGCTGTACTACCTGGTACATACCTTTGAATATGGGCGAATTACTCGATATGGATACTTGTATCCACCCAGATAGTTTACCCTTTGAACCATCCGTATCTGATGAACAGTTTACAACTCGATGCAATGGCAATTTGATTTCACCCGGAACAAGTTACGAAGGAAAGTGCCATCTTGGTGGGGATTATCAGAAGGGGTGGGAAAGAACTCATGTAACAGTGTGCGATTCCTACTATTTGCTCACTTAATCATTAAGGAAGGCAGGAATTCATTGGGAGATAATCTGCTGAACCAAAAGNGAATCATCTCGAATCATATTCGCGACAGCCCAATGGTCCGATCGCATGAGCGGATGAGCTGTGAAGCGAAGATGGAGGTGAGATCCAGCTGTACTACCTGGTACATACCTTCGAATATGGGTGAATTACTCGTTGAATACTTGTATCCACCCAGATAGTTTACCCTGTGAACCATCCGTATCTGATGAACAGTTTACAACTCGATGCAATGGTAATTTAATTTAACCCGGAACAAGTTACGAAAGAAAGTGCCATTTTGGTGGGGATTATCAGAAGGAGTGGGAAAGAACTCATGTAACAGTGTGCGATTCCTACTATTTGCTCAGTTAATCATTAACGAAGGCAGGAATTCACTTGGGAGATGACTAAACCAAAAGTATCTCTAGGGTACCTCTAAAGAGCAAAAGTCCCAGTGGAAATTCTCTTTCTCGAAAAAAAAAATTGAATGGCAAACATCTTCAGCAATTACAGCATACATGTTTAGTTCGAAGTAGTACTTCCAT